CGACCACGATATCGACGATAACAAAAGATAATGAGAAAGATGATTGCGATTACACCGAATATACCACCTATTACACTGCCTACGACAATTCCTACTATGCGACAATCTGAACCTTGACAGCCACTTCCATAACTTGTACCACCTAGAACCAATACTTTTCTCAAGAAAATTCATAATGTTTGATATGAAATAATTACCTCTATAGCGACTACCACCTCGACTTCCACTACGAGCACCCTGGCTATGAACGAGGATGACGACTAGTGCAACGATCAACAGCAAGCGAAATACAATGTGCATAGTGATGAAAGCTAAGTATAAAAATTTGATTCGAACACGAAATTTTATTCTTAACTTCAATACAAATATGTATAGAAGGCCGATGGTTTGACAGAAATGAATAAAAATTGTGTTTGCTTTATGAGTCGACGAATTATTGCACTATGAGAGAGAGAGAAAAAAAAGTATCAAGGCGAATATTGACTAATTATTTTTTCACTCATTCTCTGATCATGAAATACACATATGCATACGCATTAGTGAATATTTTGATTTATGGCACGACTAACGAAATGCGATACGCACATGACAAAGCCTTGTAACCGTGGCAATGTTTTTTCACGCCGTCGAAACATTGCACAAATCTTACATCTATACAGATGATTGTTGACATAACTGAAGGACAGAAAAAGAGCGAAAATCACAAGCATACGTGTGTTCGTTGCAAGAAGCACCCTCCAGCGATGAACAACACACGTTCTTCACGAATGTTTGATGAAACAAGCCAATTGGCAATCATTTGCCAAGAAACTCCGTCACTCTTACAAAAAAACTAGCTCTGATTAATCAAACACTTTTTTTGCGAGAGTTCATACATTATTTCCTTGGATAAAGATCTAAACAGTTTATCAAATGGAAAAGAAATGAGTTCCAATGTAAAAAAAACAAATCAGATATATACTCCTAAATTCTGCTCTGGTGATATTATTAGTAAATTTTATGTCATATTTATATAATCTCATGCTGGCTGAAGACTACCTGAAGAAAACATCAATTTTGCTTTTTTTGCAATATCATAGGCAATTACCGAATTGAGATAGGAATCAATTTTTTCGATTGTAGGCCAACAATCCTTTTTTTTCCTCGACGATTGTCTGATGATCGTTGTTGATGATTGCCAACATGTTTTTTGCTGAAAATTGATCTTTACTTTTGCAAAATTTTCGTCAACTGAGCAACATAACGTCTTTCTTCTTTTTGTTATAAGTTTCAAACTGGAAGATGCCTGTGTTCGTTTTTCTTCATGATGGAAGATCAATGCACAAAAGACTCGAGTTGTAGGTGTGGGTGTTTCTTTTCTCTATTCACACGCACACTTATACATCCACATCCACACTCACACCCCACACCCCCACACCCTCAAGATGTGAAATATCTTTCATGAGTTTTCCTTCGACCTTACTGACGTAATCAAGAATCTAATCGAAATCACGTAGTGAGACGGAGAGCGACAGCGACAGAACTCTGCTTATTTGACAGAAGCTTGAATGTCACTGAACCAAAAATCATCAACAAATGATAAAGATTTTTATGACATGACGAAGAAGACACAGAATAGAAAAGAGAAAAAACCTACGACAAACAAATGTGAGAGAAACTAAATCATCGCCCACTATTTAGAAACTTCGCGTCGTTTTTCGTAAGACAACTTGGAAGATATTCGATAACCTTAAATATACAGAGAGTATTAAATGACGCCGGATAAAAGCGAATGCGCAACAATACTGCCTCAGAAACACAAGTAAAACTCACATCGTCGAATTCCAGTGAAATAGCTTGTGTCCCTCCAGTTCAGACGTGGACATTTAATAGCGTTTGTCTGAAAGAAATTTCTAAGGTAAATTATTCCGCATCAATCCGACAGGACATTAAAGCAGTGAAAGACTCATCCTGTCTGAGCGAGTTTAGCATTGTCAAGTCCTTCGTACGCTTTGTCACTTTTCAGATGAACGGACAAGTATCCTGTGTCCATCAAGTCATCGATCAGAGCAACATAAATCAACGTCGAATACGAGCAAACGAGCCACTTCCTATCAGCATCTTGAGTAACGATGGACGAACATCCAGAGCAATCGATGGTGGTTATCTCCATTTTCAACGTCTGATTGATGTTATTCTACAGATGAAAATAAAGCCACATGAAATGAGTGAATTTATCCAACACTGTCGTCAAGAACATCACGAAAATGAAGCAACATTGAGCAAGATCACTCGTTTTGAAGAATGTTACAATAAAGAAAATGATCTAGTCTGGTAATCATGATGGAATGTCAGACATCCTTTCTCGAATGTCTTCGTTATAGGTACACAAAAGAACCATTTATTTATGAGAGATTGAATCTGGCTCTTCGAACACGAAGAATCGATGTCATTCTTTTTTATGCTTTTTTCATCCGAGACCTCGATGAAAGACTTCGACTTTTGCACCAACACCAGCCGAAAGCGACTATGAAACTCTATCGAGGTCAATGAATGTCCAAAGGTGAACTCGATCGAATCCGAACTTTGACCAATCAACTTATATCGATCAATTCATTTTTCTCTACAAGCTGTGATTTGAGTCTGGCGTTGATGTTCCTCGATTGTAGTTCCATCTCTAACCGTAGTCGTGAACGCATTCTGCTTGTAATTGAAGTCGATACTCATCTTCGCCAAGCAAAATCGTTCGCTAATGTCGCGTCATTTTCTTCTTTTCCCGAAGAGAAAGAAGCACTTTTTGCCATCAATAGTATTTTTAAGGTACAGTCGGTCGAGCAAGAAGATGAGCGAACCGTTATTCGATTACTTTTATGCGATGCGGATGAGCACAAGTTGAAGAATGTCGAAGCGTCTATCAGAAGCGATCAAAACGAAGGTCCACTGGCATTGGGTGATGTATTACTCGATATGGGCCAATGGATGGAAGCAGAACGATACTACGTACGAATCTCTGGCGAACTGCAGCCGGACGAACTAGCAGTATGCTATAATCAACGTGGCATCATCGCAGGTCAACTGGGAAATCATAAACAGAGCATCGAGTATTTCAAAATTGCTTTGTCGATGACTGATCCAGCTAATCATTTTGCTTTTGCTGGGAGTTGCCACAATATAGCGATTGCCTTTGAAGAACTGAATGAAGAAACAAACGCCTGATATTATTTCCAAAACGCTATAATGAATTACGGAAAAGTCAGCGACTCAGAACTAGGGTGTGGGTGTGAATGAATACCAAATCTGCACCCGCACGCACACTCATCCACACCCACACCCAATTCACGATAATATTTTTCCAAATTCGATTTCTTTGTAAACTAAAATAAAACTCCAAGTTCAACAGTTAAATATACAAAAACGAACATATATTTTGATTAGTTTCTGTATCAATTTCTTTATCAATAGAACGTAAAAGTTGACATAAACATTCAAGATTTTCCTTATCGGTTTTATCACGAAGTAGATATTCAATACAATCAAACATTATAGCATTTATTAACATTTGTAATTTAAACAGTTCATCAATAAAGTTAAAATAGCCAAAAGATTTTATTTTTGTTCTTTTTTTTTGTCATATGATATTTTACATTTATAAACAAAAGAATTTTCTCAATAATAAATTAGATTTTAACGGCAAGACAAAAGTGAATTTTAATAACGTGTCATCAGAAGAATCGTCATATATGAAATGAATAAAGTATCGGCTTTTTGATTAATGAAAATATTCATTGCACGAAAGAAAACAATAAACTGAAATTAATATTCCAATAAATCTTATGAAATTAAAACCTGTACGTGTCTCATGTGATGTTATGATTACTGTATTTAAGACAATGTGTCTATACAAGTCAATACTATAATCATATGGGACAATTCCCAACTTGGGTGTGGGTATAGAGGAATTAAGCACCAACACCCACATACCCCTAAAAAGAGGAAATCATCAAACATGTTGCTCTAGAAAAAAATCCATTGAAACGAGCGAAAACAATATAAAAGATATAATATGTTATTTGTTCTTCCGCTAATCAATAACAAAATTTTGACCTTCAAATATGGACATTCTGAACATCAAGTAAACATTTGATATAAGATAGATCATATTGTTTCGAGAAGATGACATGATAAGACCAGAAAAACAAAACAATAAAACCACTAAATGGACTAAAAGGATTAACAGGTTCTAGGGGGTAACAGGTTTGAAGGACTAAAATAAACAATTATAATCATCTAATCAGGAATCATGTTTAGATTTGATAGTGAGTGGGATATGAGTGAGTATGGATAAATAACATGTCATTATCCATGCCAACACTAACACCCACATCCTTTCTAGATCCAATCAACACGAAAACTTCAGATTCAGACCTGATGAACTCTATTCGTGACACGCATTGATAGTTAACTTGAAATAGCTTTGACATTCTCTTGGAGTACGGAATTTTCGGCTTTTACCCCTTGGACAGTACTCTGTAGCTGATTATATAAATATTGTCTTTGATGATCTCTTCTTGTTCTTATACAAAACTCTTCCTTTCATCATATAGAAAATAGATGTTCTACACATTATCATCAAATATCAACGGGTATTGCATCAGATCATTTCTTACAGTCTATAATTGTCTGTCTTTGATTTTTTTTGTGTTAGTATCAGATATGAATAGTTCACATAGTGAAGTACATATTGGTAAAAATCCGAGTGAACTCTATGAATATAGTAAAAATATTCGACCACCAGCATATGAAATGTCTTGGTTTAAATCAATACCAGTAACATCTCGTCCTGCTAAATTACACGACGAAATCAACTTAACAAAAGATATTTGATTAGATTATAAATTTTTAATATAGAACTAAATAAATTCTTCGTTGAAATTTATAGTATCATCTTCATGGGATCTTGATTACTCAGCTAATTGTTCAAATCTTCTTTCCGGTTATATTCATATTAATCAAAATGATTCATTTAAACAAGATTGTTTTTTATCATGTTCATATCTTTGTTTATGTGTAATTCATAGTCATGGTACAACAAAAATATTTGACGAAGAATACATTAATTGGTTAAAAGGTGATCTTCTTATTATTTCATATCAAATACAACCATTAGAACATTTCACACAAGATGATACAGTATTTCATTATGTACATGATGGATCATTACTTAAATATCTTTGAGTAAAACCATCAGAAAAAGTCTTTATTTTAACAATAATTTTTCAAGAAAATGTCTTAGAAACTAAAGTAGAAAATATTCGAGAAAAATACATTGATTGAAGAGGATTTAGATGCAGCATTTATAATATCACCTTGTATGTAGCATTTACATTATAATGAATCTGAAGATGAAGATGCATGGATTTTATCAACTCAAAACGCTGGTCTCTCACTATATCAAGTAAAATTTCTTTGACTTTTTATTTTTATTTAATTTTAAAATAATGTATTTGTTTTTTTATTCTTTTAAGGGCTTGTATGATATTCGATTTACAAATGAAGGATGGAATATTTAAAAGATAAACATACAATTAAAAATATAATTTATTAATTTTCGCATATTAAAATATTGAATTTTATTCAACCAAATATTAAATTTGGAGAATTTTAAATTGAAAAATTGATATTTATAAAAAAAAATAAAGACATAAGAAAAGTGTAAAATAAAACATTGTTAAAATTCAAAAAAAAAATAACTTTTTTAATGTCGCGTATTCATACATCCTTCAACTTTCTTCTGCCATTAGAGCTTTTGTTTCTCGAATTGAAGACACAAGTGGATGTTTTGATGATAATGTATGACCAGCTATTTCTTCTGCTCGTTCTAAATATTGTTTTGCTTGTTCAATATTTCCTAGACGTGTTTGAACAACTGCAAGATTATGTAATGTACGAGCTATATCTGGATGATCACTTAGTAATGATTGTTGTTGTAATTTCAATGCAATTTCATATTCTTCACAAGCTTTTGAGTAATCTTCAGAAGCTAAATAAACGTTACCTAAATTAATTCTTGCTATTGCATGATTTGGATGACAAGATGGAAGAGAACTATCATAAATTTTTTTTGCTTTATGATATTTAACTATTGCTTCATCATACTAAACAAAGTGCAAAGAAAAAAAAAGAAATTTAGATTTATTTGAAAATTTCTTATTGTTTTTGTCGTCTTACATGTTGTCGATCACAATCAATAGTACCCAAATTAAGTAATGTTCCAGCAACATCAATATGTTTTTTTGGAATACTTTTCTTAAATAATTTCAAAGCTTGTTGAAAACATTCTTCTGCTTTTGATTGTCGTCCTTGTTCACTATAAACAATTCCAAGACCATTCAAAGTTTTTCCTGCGCTTGCTAAACGTTTTGGTCGAGCACTCATATGTAAATTATATGCACGATTATAACAATTTATTGCACGATTAAAATCACCTTTTAATTGATGTGTACGACCAAAATTAAAAAATATACAAGCAATTTCTTCATCATTTGGATTTGAAGAATTAAGAATTGTATCAAAATATGATTCAGCTTTAGCATATTCACCCATTTCAAGAAGTAAATCACCAAACATTAGAATTATATTTGATTCAGCCATTTTTTTCGCTTGATATTCCACATATTCAGCAGCTAAATCAGCATTTTGATCAGTTGCATGAACTTGAACATGCCATAAATCTTCTTCGACATTGTATTGACATGAATCAATTTGAAAAACTGCTCCTATATAAAAGAAAACAAGAATTTCGTTTATAAGATATTGAATTAGATTATACAACGAAAGAATTTTGCAGTTTTTAATATTCTTTTTCCATGCAATAAAAGGTATTTATTATGTATTATAACTATGATCATACAGAAGCTTCGCCTCGCTATAATCAATCTTGTTTTTAAAGGACGTCATCAATTAGTAAATAGAAATGATTCATAATTTTATACATATGTGACTTTTGTCGTATCTTCTTCTTTTTTTTATTGTATCAATGTCACGTATTTCTTATATTCTTTTTGTTTGCGTGTTTACTGTACACATAGTAATGTGATGTGATTAATTGTTCTTTTTCGGATAGTTATAAAAGAAATAGTTATTGGTTTACTAACTGAAATTTTACTAATGATGATACTGAGTATGACGACTATAAGTTAAGATAGTTAAACAAAGAAGCATATTTACATATAGATATTGAGAAAGTTTATTAATGATGATATTTTGTCAAAGAAATTTATATATCAAAATAAAAAAATGCAAAGCATTATTGAGAAATCGACAATAAAATAAAAAAATGTTGATATCAATATAGATGCAGGCGATAATAGTGAATAACTTTAATTAAACATAATTCTTGAAAATAGAACTTGTAGGTTTAGTTAGTAGAGTACTTGATAGACACTAAGGATACTACGTTTCTATATAAATTCATTGTTATCTATATGAAATATATAAATTTGAAAATCCTATGTCACACATTTTGCTTACAATTTTTTTTTTTTGATAAATCTATTCCGATAATCTGTTAGTAATATTATACGATTACATTGTCTATAGTATTCTCTATCAAACATCCAAATATGGTGACAAAAATTATGAAAATTTATTTCGAAAAAAAAAAGTGATTATACAAACTATTCCTCAAAATTGAATTTAAAACCAGAGCACTTCTAGATGATTCTTTTCTCATAGATTAGTAATTATTTTTTGATTTTTTCAATAGTCACGTTATTCAAACGTTGTAATAAGAGGCATTGAATATTATAATAAATAACTATCTCAATCTAAGTATTTTAATAGATTGAATGACAAGAATAAATCTTCAAATTGATCATTTGAATTATTCAAATTAGAGTTAGAAAAAATATCTTAACATCGAAAAATAAACTTTTCTTACCAATATCAATTAGAAATTCAGCTCGTTCAGGAAATTTTGAATATTCTCGAACATCAGCAATAACGATTGTTTGAACAATATTTAAATCAACTTGATATTCAAATAAAACTCGTTCAAAATCATCTCTTTTAGGTGATTTTATTGCAAAATCACATGCAACTGAACGTTGATTACTTGTTAATAAATATTCATTTGTTGATATTAAATTTCCAATATTTCTTTGAAAATTTTTTACTTCATTACAATTTAATTGTGAATATCGATAAAGTCGAAGAACATCTTTCTGTTTTTTTTTAAGTTCTAAAAATTTCATTTCTAGTTGTTCACTTAAATCCATAATATAAAAACGAAATTGATATAAAACACTAACATCTTCTGTACGAAGTGCTTTATTAATAAATCTAAATATGAAAGAAACATATTTATAAATAAAATATTTTTGTTTTGTATATTTTTAATAACCTTACTTATTAATAAATGTATCTTTCATATACCATGGTATAGCATCAGTTGATTTATACGTTTGATCAAATTCATCAATATTTGCTAATTCAGTTAAATTTCCACGATAATAATTTCGACATATTGTAACCATAGTATTTTTCGCTTCACTTGTTTTAGGCATATTTTTTAATAGATTTTTAAATAATTCAAAAAATAACAATGAGCTATCTTCTTTTGAAAGATCTCGTGTTGCTTTGTCTTTCTTATTATATATACTCAATGCAACTATATGTTTATCAAGTTCTTCACGAGATTTTCTTATACTATCTATAAGTGTTTCTTCAGTTTCACATAAATAAACAAGATAACTATATTGTTGTTTGCTAATATCATCAATTGAACTAGATGCTGGAGAATAAAAAAATACTGAATCAATTTGTTTTAATGGTTCAATAGCTGCAAAAAAACTCGTCGATGGTAAACCATCAATGACAAGAAAAATTTTATCAGTTATTAATCTCATATAATCAATACATTCTTTTTCCATGGTAAATGTCTATAATTATTATTTAGTTAGATGCTTTGAAAAAAAAAAAACTTTATATACAAATTAACTAACCTCAAGAACACTTCTTATTGATCGAAGTATGTCGATAATATGTTGCTTTGGTATTTCACAAGCAAAATAAATCAGTCTTATTCCATCATTTTCGTTTTCATTGTTGGCATCATGATCTTCGTATTTTCCTACTTCTTCTTCGTTTTCTCGCTGTGTATTGACATCATTATTGATATGTTCTTCATTATATAGGTTTTTAACGGCTCTTTTACGACGAATTGTACAGCATTTTAAAAGTGACATATTGCAACGTGATGTCGAAGGATAAAATATCTAATTATTTTGTGTCGACTAACATTGTAGACTCATTTCTTTGAATAAACAAACACTCACTGTTCGATACACTCGAATGATCAAGATAATTACCAAGGGGGATAGTCATTTTATGAGACACATATTTATCAAGATATGATTTTTTTATATGAATAGACTAATGAAATGTAGACAAAAAAAAGCAAACAAACATTACCGGGATTTTGATCGATGGAACCAGGAGAAAAAACAATGTTAAATCAAATATAAAATTTAGTCGTGAAAAAAAATGTTCAGTATTAAATGCTGTAGCAATTTGATTAAGTAATTAATGGATACAAAATTAGAAGAGAATGAATAATGATTTTCAAATATAATCCTTTTTTTTATTTTTGATTTCTTGATATGTTGATTAGTTCCTTTGATTGTAGACATAAAAGACTAGAGAAAAAAATAAACTTAAGAATATATATTTATTCTTAGGATATTATATTTTCTTAGAAATCGAACTTCTTTGATTTTTACATCGATCAATCTAGCTTAAATTTCAAATATTTCTCATGCAATTTAGTTATTATCTTTGAACATTATTTAGGAAATGAGATCTGAAATTCTACAAGTAACTCATCAAATTGTTCATCACTTAATTGTGTTTCATTTATTAGAATAGTTTATTTATATAAAATGAATTTTGTTTTAGTTTTTAGTTCTTAATATTATACTTTGCTATCATTCTATAAACTTCTTAAGAGTTAGTGCCTGAGAAAATCAGACATCGACGATGGAGTGACATTTCAAAATTCACTGATTCTTTGATATGTTATAGAGAGTGGTGAATTTAGTATTTCCTGAAATTTTCAGCTCGATCGGATCACCTTTTCCAATACAAACAATCGAAATACTAACAAAATTTTTGATAATTTTTAATATTGATTTTTAACTGATTTTGAGGTGGTGTTTTTTTAGTAAAAGTGACTTTTG